TCCACTTTATTATTGCTTTCTGGCCCACATGTGATAATGTCCTATGTTTTATGCTGGTAAGGTGCTTTGCCATCAAAACCAGAGCACTGCATGATTGTTCCCATTGTGGAACAGTCCTGAACATGAAAGCCATGGCCTGCCTCAGAAAGCTCTTTACATCCTAGATACAATATTTGCTGTTTTTGTCATGTGCCTCCAAGTTGTTTCTGACTTACGGAGAACCCCAAGTTGTCTTGGCAAGATTTGTTCAGAAGGGGTTTGTTTGCCTTTGCCTTCCTCTATGTCTGAGAGCGTGAGACTTGCCCAAGGTGACCCAGTGGCTTTCCATAGCTGAGCTGGGATTCGAACCCTGGTCTCCAGAGTCATAGTCCAATGCTCAAGCCACTACACCACACTGGCTACAAGGGCCATTTTTTTGGAGGCGTTCCTTTGCTTTTCGGTGAGGCCTCAGTCATCTTCACCTCTTCTCCTCCTTCTTCTTCGTCCTCTCCTTTTCTTTTTCTCTCTGGCAGCGTCTTCCTTTTTAGCTCTGTCAGGGAGAAATCCTTTCCATGGAAGTTAATGTGATTAAGCAAACAAGCAGCTAAGCAGCAGCTCAGTTAAGAAAAAGCAACAACAACATGGCCTTTGCTCCTTCAGCCTGCCCTTTCATGTTTACACCTACTTGCTACTTTGGAATAATAATATATAATATAAATGGTGTCCTATGGGGTGGAGGAAGAAACTCATTACAAAGTTTCCCCAAATAAATCCTTTCACCTTTCTCAAAATCATAATTAAAAAGCAACGTAGACTTTACTTCAGTCCCATAATGTGGACATATGCCTGAAATCCCTAAATATTAAATCCTGTAGTATTTGGAGAGCCAAAGTGATGGAGTGGTTTGAACACTGGATGATGACTCTGGGTACAGGGTTCGAATTCCCACTCAGCCACGGAAACCCACTGGGTGACCTTGGGCCGGTCACACTCTCTCAGCCTCAGAAGATGGCAAGGGCAAACCCATTCTGAGGATTAACAAGCAGTTATTACAAGCCCAAAGGTGCAACAAGTGGGAGCTAATACTTTGCTCCTCCTTCATCCCTAAATAAATAGGAGTTCTTTCAAAAAATGTTTTTAAAAGGTATTGATTTCAACATCCCTCCCTTCTCTTCAAAGATGAGACTTGTGCCAAGAATTATTATCTAAATTATTTGATTT